TTTAAAGTAAAGATTTAATACAGTCTCCATCTCCTATGATGTTGCAGTGACAGTTTAAAACTCATTCTCTAAATCTCAGCAGACTTTATAGCTAGCAGTGGGCCAATATAAAGTTTAATAGCATTACAACACATAAATCATCTTTTAAAGATGCTACTGGTAGCTCCAATATTAAATGCAGACAATCGCCTGTGTTATAAATAATTTATCAAACACCATTTCAGATTAGCCTTCCATGCTGAGTTATTTATTTTAGCCTTTTCTGTACGATTCCTAAGGCACTTTTTGAAAGATCCATTACTGGTCAGTTTAATGAACTTGGGGGTCTGTTTTGTCCCCTCAAGCACTCGGGTACAGCTGTGGTGACCATTACATGGCCGACGTGGACCTCTTTGTGCCTTTTACAAGTGCTGCCCATTTGTCATGTAGCGGTAAATGGAGCTGCACATTGGAGTCCAGGGACACATTGCGCGATGCAGTGATGGAGACAAACAGATAGCTCTATAAAGTGCTGCTTGTCACAGCTGACGTGCACTCCAGTACATCACTCTTATTGTAATCTCATTTAAGAAGCAGGGGTGGCCCGGGGGACTGATACTCCCAGTTAGTTTGGTCTTTGTAGCCATAAAGCAGGAAGTGCTCCTTTTATATTCTCTGAACTTTTAGGGAGTGTGCTTTTTGCTTGGATTAATTATTATAGGAACTTCTTGACAGAACTGTGTGCAGATTTGTCAGCATGTTTGTCTGGACCTTCTCCTGGCCTGGGGTTGGGTACGGGCAGTCACTGCTTCGAGATAAATTTTGTGTCAGTGCTTCCAGGAGCCCTTTGGCTTGCTTTCTTAAATGAGTTACCTTTTATTAAGCAACAGCTCTGTGCCAGGCACTATAATAGGTGCTTTCTATACCTTATTGCTAATTCTTGCAGCAGTCCTTTGGGAAATCCTAATTTATCATCACTGTACTACAGGGGAGGAGAGTGAATTCGGAGAGGTGAAGTGACTTGCCCAAGGTTGCACAGCAGTAAGTAGGAAACGGGATTCAGACCCAGTCTGCCTCCACATCTGCCAGATTAACTTTTAATCACCAGGTGGTGATATTTTGGCTGAGTGTCTCAAGGTAAAAGGAAGCAGCCATTGGGCCAGAGGACCATTTTTCTGGTAGCCAGGATGAGTCCTGCTGGTCCGTGTGCACACTGAATCCAAGTTCCCTTGTGACTCGCAGCATAAATCCATAGCAGCTGGCCGGGGGAGGACGCTGGCCTGGCAGTGGGCAACAGCATGGCACCTGGGTTTGCTCAGCTGGGGCCACGGGCTTTGCAGGGCCCTCGTCAGAGCCCCTCGGTGGCAGCTGTCCCCCGGGCAGATGCTGCTCAGAACTCGGGACACCCTGCAGCTTCCAGAAAAGGGAGGTGCAATTTCCCTAGGAAGAAGGAATCCTAAAGGAAGGAACAATGCTTCTTGCATTTATTGTGGGCCAGAGATAGACAAAAATGTGGTGTTTTCCCCATCTCTTGCGTTCAGTTGGTGGTTCTTCTCGATGGTTTTCTTAAATATTTGGGAGAACGTGTTAAAGACAAGAGTTGTTTAATTGTGAAACTCCACTATAAAGAAAACACAGTATGAATATGCCCAGTAGCATATTTGCATATGAGTCTAGAATTCTGAGTGTGGAAATATGCTGGTAAAAGATAGTGTTTGGCATACGAAGCGTTTTCTGGAACATAGTAGGTGTCTCTAAATGTTTGTTGAAGACATTAACTATGTAAGTAATGGGTAGACAGTAGAGCCTTGGTAAATTTTCACTGTTTGCCTTTTGAGGGTTTTTGCTAGGGGTGGGGGATATGCAAAATAAGACATGGGTTTTGTTTTGTTTTTAAGATTTATTTATTTATTAGAGAGAGAGAGAGAGAGAGAGTGAGTGCTAGCAGGCGGGGAGGAGCAGAGGGGGAAGGAGAGAGAATCTCAGGCAGACTCCCTGTTGAGTGCAGAGCCCGGCGCAGGGCTTGATCTCATGACCCGGATATCATGACCTGAGCTGAAATCAAGTTGCACACTTAACCGACTGAACCACCCAGGGGTCCCAAGACATGGGTTTTTAATATTGATCTCTGCCATATTACATTGTAGAAGCGTTTTAAGTGGTGTCTATGGGCAATTTGGGAAACTCAGTGCTTCCCCCACCTCTTTTACGGAAATGACAGTTGGAGGAACCGCCCATTGGCCCAAAGACTGATTGGCAGCCACCGTCCACTTGCCCAGGTTCTGAAGATCCTAGGTGATTGAGGAGTGACATACCCTGAATCAGGGAACTGCTGTCCACTGTCCCCAACTCACTAAGGAGCCCCCAGCTGAGACAGGTTACTTGTGAGCTGGTGTGGTGCTGTGGCATTCTGGCTCTGGAGCCCAGTGGACCTGTTCTACGGTTTACTAGCTTGGTGACCTTGGGCAAGTCATTCACTCTCTCAGCTATAGTTTCTGACAGTACTAACTTCAGAAGATGGTTGAGGGCAGAGGCAAAAATGATGATCAGTATGCCCAACTCAGTACTTGGCGCACATTGCGGTAGGTGCTCAGTAAGGTTCATTCAATTTCATAACATTGAGTCCTGTGTCTATGAGATGAGGGTAGGATTGGAAAAACGACCAGAGCCTTGTTGAGATTTTCTTCCTTAAGGAATCGGTGGGGAGGAAAGGAATTTAAAAGGTGTGTTTTCCCAATTTTTAAAAGCCTTTTACACTTAACAGCACATAACGATAGTTTTATGAATAAATCAAGCTATACATAATACAAAGTTTTTGTACATTTTTAATTTTTATAAGTTCATCTATTCACATTACAGAATATTTGCAAAATGGGGGAAGATTCGCCTGTGATGTGTGCACTGTCGGTATCTGTGCCCAGTTTCATTGACAGATATTAGATACGCATGTCTGAGATCATGTGTGTATCTCCGTTTCCTCGGCGTCTTCTTCCATCTCCGTCCCCAAACATAGGACGATTTGGGAAATTTCCGTCTGTAGTCCTAAGTGCAGCCAGCAGGGTTTGTGACATCTACTAGGTACTGTTGGCTGGCTCAAGGCACCAGCAGCAGTGATGTCAAAGCAAAGAAGATCATTAAACAGAGAAGGGAAAGGAAGAGGAGAGGGTAGGGTGGGTGAGGAGCAGGGGAATAAGGAGGGTGCCCCTACACACGCACGTGCACACATACACACACACACACGTGTGTGTGCGCAAATCTAGAATCTTTTAATAAGAGAAACAAGTTAGAGTGAGGCTGTGCCCGTTAAGTTACGGCTGGGTTTTGTCTGTATGGTAGCAGCCATCTCCTCTAAGATGGTTTCTTTGCTTCCACCTTCACTGGCTTTTGGCCCCTTGGGCGCCCCAAGAGAGAATTCCTGATTGGAGGATCCTGTTTGAATGAGTTCTCACGGGGCTGTATGTGCACAAGAGAATAACCAGCTCCGTTGGCCCAACGTAGGTGTCACTCAGAAAGTGAAAAAACCTGGTAAGTTAAAGATCAGATTAACCCCCTAGCTCCTACTGCTGGGTTGCTGAGGATCCCACTTCCAGCAGAGCCGTCTCGATCCTTCTCCGAGTCTGTAGAGGGCGCTCATGTCACTGGAATCCCACTTCCTGGCTTAGGGCAGGCAGAGGAGCAGGAACCCTGAGTGGCTCAGATCTTCTCACAACAGAAAGTCAGCAAATCTGCCCTTTGATGATCTCAGGCTGGACTTTGGGGCGGGGAGTCATGTTTCTCAAAGAGTGGTAGATGAGCTCTTTAGTTCAGCTTGCATATTTTTGGACTCTAAAGCACTGGCGAATGGGAAAGGGGCAGCACTCTCTTCCTTGGGAGAATGGTTCATTTTTTTCCTTGCTGCCTAAAGAGCTTGTACGTGGTGCTCCCCAGGTCCCACCTTGCTGCCTCCACTACCTGCTTTCGGTCTTACTGCCCTGCTTTGTGCATGCCTGGTGCATGGCCTGCCTTGCAGCCCCCTCCCTGAAGCGTTGCTGACCCCACCAGTGTTTCCACAGCTCCCTCTCACACCGCATTGTAGTTACGTGGGGCTGATACCCCTACTGGACTCTCAACCCCTACAGGGCAGAGACCTTGGGGCCTCATCCCTCTCTGTAGCTCTACCTCCTAGCATAGGACCCGACATATGAAAGGCCTTCTTGAATCAGAAATGAATGAATCCACCTTTTCACAAGTCACTGTTGTTGACTTAGACTTGCTTCTAAAAGGAGAAGTACAAGAGAGAATGATTCAAGGGAAGGAATCACTGTAAGTGAACATGTAGGCTCTTTAGTAGAAGGCAATAGATTCTCTTGGACAAGAGGTCCCATCCTTGGCTTTGCCACCATTTTGCCAGAACTGTAATGTTTTGGTGTTAGTTTTTCCCCCTGATACGACATCTTCATTATGTCACCTGAAAGCAGGTTCTAACCATTATTGAACATTTTTGATCAGGGGTTAGCAAACTATAACCCGTGGGCCAAATGTGCCTCTCCACCTATTTTTGTTGATAACGTTTTTTTGGCATACAGCCACATGCATGTGCTTATATATTGTCTGTGGCTGTTCTGTGCTACTGTGACTGAGTTGAGTAGTTATGACAGAGACGGTATATCTAACAAAGCCTAAGGTGTTTAGTACCCGGCCCTTTACAAGAAAAGTTTACTGGCCCCTGTTTCAGATGATCAGTTGCTCCCTGTCGGCCCAGAGTCCTCAGTCATGCAGTGATTATCTGATGTGAAGTAGCGTTTTGAAAGAAGGGATGCATGCAGAAAGGGTTTAGAAGACCTGGTTCCTGCACTTACTAGCTGAGGAACCTTCGGCAGGTCGTTCTGGTACTTTGAGACCTTTTCTTCATCTATCAAATGGGCATTGAAAACTTCTACCTCACCCGTGATTCTGCGCACTGCTCGTGAGAGCACTTCGTGGATGTCAAGAGCCGCCCTCTCAGCGACTGTGGCCGTGATCATTGCCATTCTCTTTCTCAGGAGGAGGAAGCCAAGAAGCTGGTGAGTGAAGCCATTGCAGCTGGCATCTTCAACGACCTGGGATCTGGAAGTAACATTGATCTCTGTGTCATCAGCAAGAGCAAGCTGGACTTCCTCCGCCCATACTCAGTGCCCAACAAGAAGGGGACTAGGTAAGTGAAGGAGACGAAATTCTGCCTGTGTCCCCCGATTCCCGCAGCCACGCCTGATCTCTCCATGGCATTTAGACAAGGTTTTCTTTTTTTTTTTTTTAAAGATTTTATTTATTTATTTGAGACAGAGTGAATGAGAGAGACAGAGAGCACATGAGAGGGGGGAGGGTCAGAGGGAGAAGCAGGCTCCCTGCCGAGCAGGGAGCCCGATGCGGGACTCGATCCAGGGACTCCAGGATCATGACCTGAGCCGAAGGCAGTCGCTTAACCAACTGAGCCACCCAGGCGCCCTAGACAAGGTTTTCTTGATTGTTACCCGGTGAAGTAAGGCCGGTGTCCCCAAGCCGGCCTTACACACAGACCTTCGAGTCCTTATTTGCTTTATGATTTGGGTTGCTGTCAGGTATAGAAGAGTGATTTTACTTGTAAAATGTTGATGGGAGAGGTAGAGCAGGGCCCAAAAGAGAGTCCTAGCCTGGGGGTTTGTGGGGAGAGATTCGAATCACCTGCTATTCTTTCTCTAGTCTCTTAAAGAATCCCCTGAATTACCGTATGAAATTCCACGAGAAGCATTTTTCAGGGAAACCAGCCCGTAGCTTTTCTCAGAGTGGTATAGGAGTCCTGAGCGGTTATAAACTAGGGGTTAGGAGTCTTTAAAGTTAGCCTGGGGTGCTCCCTGGTGCCTCCTGCTCTCCAGGGAGCCGTGCCGTTCCACCCGGGGCATATGCCGAGCAGGCCCTGTGTCTCAGTGGCGTGGCCCAGGCTCAGAGGGGGGACAGGGTTCTAGCCGGTTTGCTGACTAGAACTGGAAGGTTTCCAGCCCTCGTGACTGGTGTGTGCAGATGAGCTGCTCATTTGCAGTCTCGCATGGTTGTCCAGCTGTTTGGCCATCCTCTGGCTCCTGACCTCTTCCGCGGGCCTGACAGCTCAAGATGGGGCTCCCGAGCTCTGCTTCCAGCTGCACTCATGTGAATGTGGCACACCAGGATTTACAAACTCCACCACTTCCCGTGCAACCCCATAGCGAGGCCAGAGTGTAGCAAGTACATCACCTTCTGGAATGCTTCCTTTAACTCTCACTGCATATACCCAAATTCCAAATCAGGAGTAATTCCAAGGAAAGAGTAGAACATTGAGAACCAGCACCGCACTCAGCACTGTGGGAACTCAGTGTGCTCGCTGCAGGTAGGGTAGCTCAGCAGCAGAGAGTTCTGGCTCGGGGTGGGGAGATGTCATTGCCTGGCATGATGACTTTGGGCCCGTCAGTCTCCTAGTCTTTGAAATGATGGAGCTGGATAGGTGAACAACCCGTGGAGTGCTTGGGCTTTGAGCTGGAAAGGAAACCACCTTTAGGCCTGGGGCTTTGCTGGGGGAGCAGGCTTTGCCGAGCGAGCTCCCTGACGCCTGGGTCCCCCATTACATGCAAGATGCCGCAGGAGCTGAGAGTTCAGGGAGGAGGACATGGTTACGCTCCATCCAGACAGAACAGAGTTCTGGGTGAGGATTCTGGAAGCCACGTTTGAGCCACTTAAAAGTAGTATTTGTGTAGGACAGGAACCTGTGTTCAGCAGTAGCACATCTTAATTCTTTGGGACATTGTCAGTCGTCTGTAGAAGAGACCGTAAACCCACAAGAAGAGACACAAAACGACCCTGTTGGCTAGTTGTGAAGATTCAGTGAGCTGGTATGAGAGGGGCTCGGCCCGTGGCAGGTGTGTGCCGGGCCCCGCGGCAACGCCGCACACTCTGGAATCTCACCGTCCTCTTTCCTGCCAGAGGCTGACTGGTGGGGCGCTGTCTGGGGTAGGGGAACCTTTCCCAGAGGGGGCAGTCAGGCTGGGGGCAGAGATTCGGCCTGGGCGTGTGTGGACCCAGCCCTGCACCTTCCTGTTGGGTGCTCTGCTGCCAGCCTGCCGCAGCCCTGCTTTGGAGAAGCCCTCCCTGCCTGCCGACACCAGGCGCCCGTCACCAGGATGGTGAGCCCCCCCCAGATGTGGCGGTTCAGACGAGTTGGGCACACAGGAGTCGCTTGGGGCATCGGGCTCCAAGACGACAAAGCTGCCAGGGGTCCAGTCTGGGGGAAGGAGCCAGATCTTCACACCTGCAGGGGAGGGGCGGGGCACACCTTGAGAAGGTGCTGCTGCTGAGTGTGGTGGGGACCGGTGGCTGAGCGGAAATGAGGCCAGCCGTTTGCGGCACGAGCTCCTGGATTTCTGCAGAACTCGGACGTCGCCCACTTTTTCCTGCTTCCTGCTCCCTGTTGGAGCACCAGCGCCATTTGAGGGGCTGATTTTCAAGGAGCGCGTGGTCACGGCATAGCTAGCAGCCTCTGTTAGTCCGCGCCAGATCGACAGAAGTAATGTCCCAGCTGGGGAAAGACCAGAGGAACAGTTGGATTTGTACTGCTGTTTGACGATATTGTAATTCCTGGCCCCAGTGTGAGAATTAGCAGCTCAGATGTGGCTCTTACAGACTGCTTGTGCTCAGAGAAACCGCTGTCAAGAGTCACTCCGAGGGGCGCCTGGGTGGCTCAGTTGGTTGAGCGACTGCCTTCGGCTCAGGTCATGATCCTGGAGTCCCGGGATCGAGTCCCGCATCGGGCTCCCTACTCGGCAGGGAGTCTGCTTCTCCCTCTGACCCTCCCCCCTCTCGTGTGCTTTCTCTCATTCTCTCTCTCTCAAATAAATAAATAAAATCTTTAAAAAAAAAAAAAGAGTCACTCCGAGAGGAGGTGTGGGGCGTGACCTGGTGGGGACCCGCTGCACCGCCCTAGGGAGCAGCTAACCCTTCTCAAGGCTCGAGAGTGTAGTCTAGAGTGACAAGACCAGAGTCCGGCTGCGGGTCATTTTTATACTGTTTTTGCTTCCACGTGTTTTTAATGTTTAAGGTAACAATTAAGTCGTCCTTATTTCTACACAAGAGAAGGGTGATGACAGCCTAACAAAAGGGTCCACTTCCTGCTGATACTGAAGGGTGCTTTTGGGGAGTTGAAGCTCGAAGGCAAATGACCCAAGTGCTTTCCAGCATCTTCTGGGGAGGGTGAGGTGGAGAAGGAAATGTGAGGGCCCATTAAGTGCCAGGTGCTCTCTCTGAGTGCTTTTAGGGTGCACATCTACCAGGCGCCCCTATTTTGTAGCCCTGGAGCACTGGGGAGAGTGAGCCTTGGGGCAGTTGAGTCCCCCCAAGGTTACAGAGCTGGGAATCAGGAGAGCCAGGCTCTGAGTCCAGTCTGCTTGCTGCCTTGCCTGAGTACTTGTCCCTCTCTCCAGGCCTCTGTTGGGCCCCTTGAGGGGATCCTAACTCTGCCTTTTTCTCCCACTAGGTTTGGCCGGTACAGGTGTGAGAAAGGGACCACTGCAGTCCTCACTGAAAAAGTCACCGCCCTGGAAATCGAGGTGCTGGAAGAAACAGTTCAAACAATGGACACTTCCTGAATGGTGTCCATGGAGTACCTGGGCTTCGAGCAGGATGGGAATCACCCTGATGGGCTGATCAGTGCTCTGCAGGATGGGGGGTGGGGGGCAGTGGCGGCTCCCCCATAAGACCTTCATTTGGCGCAGTGTCTGCTGAATGAGACCCAATAAAAAAATGAAAACCGGATTGAATGGCTGAGGTCTGGAGGTTGTGTGGTTCTTTGGCCACTAAGGCTCATTGATGTGCCCCTCCCCCCCTTCAGGATGTTAATCCCTCCCCCAGTGCCCGTCTGTGTTCACACAGGTGTTAAGAGCAACGTAACCCTCCTCCTAAAAGCAGGTGAGGCCTCATCTGTCGCGGAAGTCAGATGAACCTTTCTACCCACCCCTTGTGCTAACTTTTTCTCTTTGTTCAGGGTGGTCCCAGGTTTTCTTGTTTTGTTTTGCTTTTTTAGAGTGAAGGCAGCGCAGCCTTTTACCTCAGCAGCCAAGTAGGAAACAAGTAGAGACATCAGTTCTAAGTACCAGGACAAAGCAGGTAGGTGGACAGCTGGCTTCGCCACAGCCGCATAGAACTGCGTGAACTGCTTGTTGGCCAGTTTCACAGAAGTCGCAGGAGTGCTTGGGGCTTTACCGTGTGTGGTAATTAGGATACCGTCATTTCACAAGCACTCAGGCCTGGTGAACGGCTGAAATTTCACGCCTCCAGAGGGTCCTGGTGAGCAGAGTTGCTCTCATGGTGTTGAACATAGGCGGCGTGCGGAGAGCAAGTTCATCCGCATCTGTGGCTGATTCTGCCATGGGTGACACGGAGGCTCTGAGAGCCGTAAGCAGAGTGTGTGCAAAAAAATCTGTGTGGAATCAGAAAAACTTTTAGTGGCAAGTGCTAGGCAGGAGATAGGGCCTTGACTGTCCCCCAGAGATAGCATGGCTGGGGTACACGGCAAAGAGTCCCAGCACCATGATCTTCCAGAGTGAACACACTCTTGGGGCAGCCGCCCTTGTTAAATCGCAAGGAGTGGGGTAGGGAGAACAATGGAATTATTTACGGCAGCGTCCTGGCCGACGATTATCAAAATTATCTGGGGAGCTAAAAAAATTCCAAGATTACTCAGAATGTCTGGGGCCTGAGAAATTGTATTTTTAAAGGCGCCTGGGGAAATTGTGCTGTCACATGAAGCTGTTTTAAAGTTATCTGTGAACTGTACTCACTCACAGAAGTGACCCCTCTTACCCCATTTTATTTCAAACATGGAGAACAAGTAAAAAGCAAAGGTTGCATCTGAAGAAAATGTCTCAAACCCGACAGGGTTACAGTAGAACAGAGTTCACACATGGAAACAGAGCAGTGGCCCAGCCCAAGTCCTTTATCCCCAGGGAGGCCTGGGCCCCTGGTCAGCAAGTTGGCAGCAATCAGAGCACCTGACCGGAACGCTGAGTGGGCGGGCATGTCTCTATCTGGAGGGCTGAACTGTCACCAAGTCGATGGGTGACAACTTAGACCATTTGAGGATTAACTTGAGTAGAAAAAGCAGAATTCAAACTATTTCCTTCAGAGCTTGAGTTTTCCTTAAGTTCACATTTATAAATTAGTCTTCACAGTTAATCCTATTTGGGAACAAGAAATAAATGAACATAGTTCTGGTTTCCTATGCATATAATGTAGTTGTACGTTAATTCTTGACTTACATGGTCCATGGACTTCAGTTTTGTGAAGGAGTGGGTGAGTGGCTACCATTTTTGGGTCATCTGCAATGTGCTGGGTCACTTGCCTATTTTATTTCCAATTCTGCCAGCAAGGCTGAAGGTAGATACTATTAGTCCCATTTTACAGATGAGGAAACTTAAGGCTCAGAGAGGCTGAGAGAGTCGCCCAGGGTCATGGTAGGCAGTTGCAGAACCAGAACTTGGTACAGAGGACGGCCTGAGGGCATGGTTTATATTTCTATTTTTGGTATCCCGTGCTTCCTTCCCACAGAGGAGAACGCCTAACACTGTTAAATGAACTGCCTGCCTTCCAGCAGGTGGTGGAGGGAGGGCTTGAGGCGCCTGGGACCGAGCAGGTGCTCAGGAGGGGAGGGCTGAGCGGGGCTGCACAGAAAACACCCCTGGCTCACGAAATACCGGTTGCCTTCTGAAACTCTGTGCCAGATGCTGGGTTCTCCTCATCGTCATTCATCATGTTATAAACGTAGATAAAAATATTAGGAAAATCTCCACTCTACTTTAAAAAAATTATTTCCATTTTATGCTTTTACAACAGAGCAAGCACACAGCTTGATTTTTTTGAAAAGATTCTAAGAGCTAAACTGAACTTGCTATAACCAATTTGAAAGGCTCACGACAAGTCACACAGTCTCCTGCAATTCTCCTGTTCTTATAAACCTTGACAGGTCACTGAAGGAATTATCCTAAAGATTCACATTACAATCCAGATACAAGGGGTACGTCGGTGGCTCGCCGAACCACTCGCCTTGGTAACAAGCCAGCTGAGATTGTCCACAAACAGTTTAAAGAAAGGACTTTCGAATGTGACCACCAGTGACCCTGTGACCAGTGCCCCTCCCCCCAGCTGCTCTGCATTCAGCACCTGCTGTGAAGCCCGGGGTCCCCTCTGGGGAACCCGCGGAACCCTCTTGTCTTAGTTGATGATCTAGGCTACCAGGCGGCCACTTCGGAGAGAAGACTCAAGTAAGGCAAAGTGGTGCGGCTCTGAGAAGGCGTGCTGCGTCCACGTTCAGGTGCTGGAAGTCCACACGTGCATCTGTTTGGCAACCTGGTGCACATAGCCGATGTCGGGTCTCTGGTTGGGGTCGGGGTAGATGCACATGCTGACCAGTTCTCGTAACTGTAAGGGCGAGAACGGCGTGTTATTTTTCAGGAGACAGCCTCGTGGAGGCCCCCGCGCCCTCACAGCTACCGAGGGGAGGCCCGGCACGCAGGTGAGCGACGGGTGGGCAGCCACAGCCGGCACCAGTGCTAGGCCCGTCTGGCCGCAAGGCCACACCTTGAGACCCTGTGAGTGGCTCTGTCCAAACAGTTGTGAACTTCCAGCTGCCCACACGTGTGTGTGTGCGTGCGTGCATGCTGTCAGTCATGCAGATACCCAAACCAGAGGACAAAACTCAAGGCAAGGGCTTATTGATCATAATAAATGCATTAACATGCAGCAGGGCTGCAGTCTGCCCACCCCCTGGCCTCTTTATTGTGCGCATGAAAGACGGAGCTTTTAATTATACAGACACTGAAGGCTGCTTCCTGCCTCGGGCTGGGGGAGGGGCGCCTTGAGCCTCTGATCGCCTCCGTTCTTCTGATAGCCAGAGTGCCAATTATTTTAATGGTAATTAAAATAATGACCTTAGAAAGCCTACATCTTCACTTGCATCACTGGGCTCACTGCAATTTTTTCATTTAAATACCTGGTGCTGGAGGGGCTGGCCGGCCCTGTGGGGGGTGGCTGGGGGGGGGCAGCAGCAGAGAGAGGGTTGGTCCTGAATGAGAGGGCTCACGTGGACTCAGTGACCATGCTCAGGAGTCTGGGGAGGGTGGAGGGGTCAGGTGGGGGCCCCGGGGCTACCGTCCACGCTCCGTGTTTCACACCTGAGGTGCTTCAGGCTGCAAACGAGGTTTCCCTGGGTCAGACATTGTGAGCTTCCCTCCAACCTGTGTGCTGCCTTTTTGGGATTCCACTGCTTTATAAGCACTGGGAAGCCCCTGGACAGGCAGCTGCAGCTGGGCCCGTGGCCGGCCTGAACACTCCTGGAGTCTGAGGTTGCCCGTGATGAGACAATACTTTTAGGAATCTTACAGTATTCAGGGGAAGGCAGCAGTAGTTGGACAAATTCATGGGCCCAAGAAAAACGGATGAAGGTAAAGTCACTGTGACTCCCAATTACTCAGTGAGTAGACTGCGCAGTTGGCAGTAAGAGCATGTTTGAAAATTTCAGAAACCAAGAGAAAAACAATAGTGCCTTTTATACCCCTTTCTAAGAGGCGATGTAAACGATGTAAAGTGTGCTGAGCAACTCCAGTGCTAAGAAGCACCTCTCACTTCCTAACACACAGCCTAGAAACGCTGGTGTTTCTGGTGTAACTGGTGAAAGCAGGGTGCTCTGGGGAGTACGAGGTCACAGAGTTGGAGTGACTGACTCGAGAGAGAAGGGGGCTGAGGGCTTTATGCAGATTCATTTCATTTCAGCTTCTATTAGGCAGAGATTATGGTTCCCATTTATAGGTAGGAAACGGGCACAGAGAAGTTCTGATTGCTCCAAGTTCCAAGTCTGTGCTTCTTTAAAAAGGTGAGAAAAGAAAAACTAAATGCAGCTATTAACTGGTTAAGAAATCTATTAGTTTGACCTTTCCTGCCAACTTCCACTCCAGAGCATAAGTACTTCCTTCGAGGAGACACAGAAGAACTCTGTAAGCCGCTGAGGCAAAAGCCATGACAGAGCGTGCACTGAACAACCCTCTAGGAATGTGTCCTCCCCACCCTCACTCTCCGTCCTCTGGGAGTCTGCGAAGCCAGTGAGCGTGGTGGTAAGTACGAAGGCTGCCAAGAGAAGGGTGGCTGATGACCCTTTGGTTGGCCTGCCTAGACACAGCGTGAGGACACACTGGGAGACCCGGTCTCTGCAGCCCAAGCCCCTCGTGGACAATGGCTGCTCCTTCCAGAGCCTTCAGAGCCTTAGGGATTGGGACTGCAGCAAGCTGCTCAGGGGGCGCCTCAGCGCAGCTGGACCACTGGCTACTGAGGAGGTATGCCATCAAGAAACAGGATGGCACAGTGGCTGGGTGCAGGATCTCTGGGTTCAAATCCTGCCTTCACCACTTGGGAGTTACGTGACTTTGGGCAAGTTACGTTAACCTATCTGTGTCTCAGTTTCCTCGGTAAAATGGAGGTGGGGGAGGACTCACCGGTGGGTCACAAATGTGAGCTGTTACCCTGCCACAGTAGCCTGTGGTCCTGCAGGGTGGGCCCAGGGAGGTCTCGGAGTCCTCTCCACATCCGCTAGGGTGGCCCTTGACAGACCATTGATGGTTGGCACAGAGTGTTTACCCGGAGCCACGCCCTTTGTTACAGCTGGTGGCTCCTTTTGGTGGCTTTGGGGTCAATGTCAGCCTGGTGCTAAGCTGAGCACGTCACATGCATGACCTAATCCTTACACTGACCCTGGGAGACAGCCTCTAGGATTATCCCCATGTTACAGATGAGGAGACCGAGGCTCCGAAAAGTTCACTGACTCACCCAAGAACAGGGAAGGGAGTATATTAAATGTACGCATCTGCCTGCACCCTTAGTCATGCTGTGTGGTAAACCTGTCGTTTCGTCTGCGCATTTTATTCACAGAGGTGAAATTTAGCCCTATTTTCCAGAAGACGGCACTGAGGAAGGAGATATGCAAACACAGCTTGTTCCTGGCACGGACCCAATGCCAGACCTGTCCGTCTGTGTCCAGAACCCTTGCACCCAGAGCAGAATGTTGCAAGTAAGAGCCCAAGGTGTGACTTAGGTCCGGGCCAGCAAGGAGCCCAGTCCGCTTGCTGGGGTTTCCTGTCACGGGATCGAGTGGCAGCCGGCAGGGGGTAGGGCAAGCCAAGGCCCCGCCACCTCCTGCCTCCGAGTCTGACACCACATGGGGCCCATGTCTGGGACCTGCAGCGGCCAGCCTCACACTCAAGCACCGGGTTGGGAGCCAAAGGGGCAGAAATGAGCCAATGGAGCCTTACTGGCCAGCTCTGGTGGTTTCTGGGCCAGTAGGCGGGACACGTCCTGCCGCTGGGGGCCCATGCTGGTGTCTGAGACCTCTTCAGTAACATTCATCTACTTCCCTCCCCCACCAAACCCTGGGTCACTTTCCCACAAATCTTCCCTTCTCCACCCAGTTAAGTGCACCCAAGTTCAAGCCCACAGCCGTGGCATTTTGGCAATGCCTCTCCTCTCAAGCCACTGCCGGCCATTATGCTCCCCAGGCCTGGGGGCGGCAAACTCACCTTCTCAGAGTAATGTTCTCCAGGGAGAGGCGGGTAGTCACATTGCTCGATCTTCTGGCAGAGGGAGAAGAGGTTCATTTTATCTCCATAGAAGGGGCTCTGGAGAGCTGCCATCTGCAAGGGGAGGGGGGATGAGAAACATGAGTCTGCAGCCTTGAGGTCCAGGGGCAAAAGGGACCACTCCAGATTGGGGTGGGGTCCTTCTCTGGTCCTTGGCGGAGACTGTCCAGCAGGATTCCCTGAAAACCCTGCGGGAGCTGGGATACAGCACAGTAGCAGTTTTAACATGATCCTTGTCCTAAAAGCAAATTAAATGACGACAAGGCTTCAGTGACAAAACTTTAAAGGCAACGGGGGTGGGGGAGGGGTTGGAGCTGAATACGGAGGGCCAGCCGCGTGCGGGCACACCCACCTCACGCCCCAGCCCTCCGGGACGGATTCTGGTCGTGTGCACACGGCAGATGGGGAAACAGGCTCTGCTCACTGGGACTCGTGCCTGGGCCCAGCAAGCTCTCTCTGGTGCATTGTCTTAGATTTCTAAGAAGCAATCCCGAAGACACCCGTGGGAGGATGTCTAAGTAATGATGCACTGAGGAAATTACTTACCCAAGGACTAGCATTTTGGGGGTGGGGTGGAGAGGTGAGGCCTTTCATTTTTGCTTTTCATTCTGGCTGTTGTCACTAGCCCATCACAGAGCTGCTGTCTGAGGGCCTGGAGTTCGGGGCAGCGGCTCGGGCTCTCTGTAGAAGCCGGACGCCCAGACGGCAGGGAGGGGGCCTGAAGCTCTGGGGAGCGACAGCATGTGCCTGGCACCGCAGCCTGCCTGAATCCCACTTCTGCACTCTCTTGCTGTGCGTCTGGCCTCGGCTGTCTTAGCCCGAAAGATGGAAAAGGTTCCACCTGCAGTGCTCTGGGGAGGCTCGGCCGGCACGGGAGGCGCCACAAGCCGGGCTGTCACCACCCCGATGAGGCCAGTGGCGCTGGCTCTACCTGGGGGCACTGGGAAGCAAGAGGACTGTGATGGTAGTTGGCGAAGGGGGGAGGGTCTCCCCCAGTCGGGGAGCTGCCGGGCTTCCCCTTTCTGGAGGGTATCCGGACTCCCCGGCCCGTCCCTCAGGGCACTGCTCGGGGGTTTGCGGGAGCTCGGGGCAGCTGCATCGGGTGGGCTGAGCCGCAGCCCAGCACAGTGCTCGCCGGCCCCATCTGCTGATTAATCCGTAATGGCATTCAAGTGCTGCTTGTCACTCCCGCTCACTGTTGCCTGCCGCCAAGACGGCCCAACGCCCCCTGCTAATGAAGTGCGTCGGGTAATTGCGCCTGGCTGTCCGTTTGGCCTCGGTTCCCTTCGAGGAGCCAGGCTGCCAAGGCCACTCCACACAGACTCCTTGGCCAGGGGCTCCCGGGCTACCTGAGCAATCCTCACTTGTCCTCAGGCCCTAACTCAGGGCAGGGAGAAGGCCGTGGGTGTTGGGTTTGCGGATGCCCCTGGCTTTAGTGTCCGGGTCTGTCCCCGTCCTCCGTTCGCCCCTGTGGACAGGTCTGGTGGCCCCAGGAGCAGGACCTGTGTCCATCAGGAGGGCCCAGGGAGCTTCCAAGCCCAGGCAGCGTCCATGGGTTTACAGAAGGCCTCTGGGGAGGCAGCACGGTGTGGCCTGGAGACTGGTTTCCTCTGGCCCCGGCCCAGGAGTCCACCCGGGGAGGCACCTGCGGGCCCAAGCGCCCATGCCATGCCGAGTGCTTTCATGGGGGGGCGTTCAGGGCCAGCCTCACTGCTCCTCCTCACCTCTCCTCCTGTGACCAGGGGCGCCAAGCCCCTGGAGGAGGGCTGCAGCGAGTGGCCTGGCCCTTGCCCGGGAAGGAGGAGCCTGTGAAGACCCTGCCCACCGTGGGCCGCGCCAGCCTGACGGAGCCGGCTCGACCGAGTGTGCAAAATGGCATCGCTCGGGTGATGCATTTCCGATGGTTAAAATGAGAGCCTCGGGTGCAAAGGGTTAATTGGGCAGTTTCAAAAGGACATCTGTTGCCACGGCAGAGAGCGGCTGAGGCTCCAGGGCGGTCACTCGGGGTGAGCTGGGTGCCCTCCGAGTCGTGGCTGGATGTTAAGATGGATTTTCCTGGAAAGTGTTTCTGTTCAGAGTAGAAAGAACATTTAAAACGTTGGCCCACTGACACAAGTTCTGGTTTTTCATGTGTTGGACCGGAGACTGGCTAATCCTTTTAACAAGCCGTTCTGATTTGTGCAAACCTTGCTGTTTAGGGTTCCAAAAGGGCCCCAGAAATTGGTGGGGGGCAAGCCCCAAGCCAGCATCCCCTTCAGAGCATGCCTCCCTCCCTCCCTTGCTGGCCGCTCCCACACTGTCCTGAACAGGGTCAGCAGAGGGCTCCCTGCCAACAGTGCCTTCTCCATCCACGACGGCAGATTCCAGCTGCCGGCCATGGGCCTTCCACCCAGATCAGGGCACTGGGCTGTGACGGAACCTCTGGGGCTGCTCGAGGTGCTGGGATTAGAACGATTACCCTGAATGCTGAGATCCTGGCACTGGCGACCAGGCGACCACCCACTTCTGCCTGGTCGATGTGGCGGTGGACTCGCCATTTGGGGCTGATCCCGTTGGCCTCGTCAGAACTGCAAGAGCCGTGGCGTTCAGCCCCGCTCCTCAAATGCAGAACTTTTCCTCTCTGGCGTTATTGGGATGACACACAGCCAGGAAGTGGGAGAGTGTGGCCACTCGCCGCCGCCAGGAGGGCTCAGAGAAACTGGTGTGTGATCTGAGATGTCAGAGGGAGAAGGGGACTCTGACTTCAGGGGTGACAGCAACTGCCTTTGACTCCTGCCCTGTCAGGGCCTCAGACACTCATCTTGTCACCTAGTATCTCCCGAGCACATCCCAGAGCGAAAGCTGCACCCAGGGGCCAATCACCAGTGGTCTGCAGCCCTGTTCCCCCACGAGCCAAAGGGCACCCAGACTCTTCTCTGGGTTCAGCCAGAATTCCAAACAGGATTCTGTACAAGGGGCAGGTGATCCTTAGTCTGGGTCCCCTGCTGCTTTCTTGCTGGCTCTCAGTCTCCCGAGGCTGCTGTGGAAGGTCCCCTGCCGAGGATCCTGGGGCTGGCGTTGGACGAGCCAATTCCTTCAGCTTTGTGCTCAGAGCTGAGCTCACGTGTAAATAAATAAATTCTGCAGAGCCCACGCTGTGGGCCGGGCGCCTCCGTGGGACGTGCTGGGTAGTGAAAACAAAGCCCCAGGCCTTCTAACACGGTGTCTCCGCTGGAGGCTCCTGCCACCGGAGGGGGGGAGGGCATTGTAGTCACTTGGGGCTCCTTACCGCCTGGCTTCATCTCCCAGGGGCTCTGGACCGAGGCCCACAGTCCCCTTCTCCACCGCAGTCGCACCTACCCCAGTGTGGAGTCCTGCCCTGCGGCTGCCCAGGGCCTGGCTCTTGTCCACAGGGGGGTGGGCCCTGCCAGGCAGCCTGGGGACCAGTGCCCATCTTGGCCACTTCCTTGCTTTGTGACCCTGGGGAGTCTCTCCACCTCCCTGAGCCCATTTCCTCCCTTATAACGAGGCTGGGACTGGCCTCATGTGATTCTCGTGATTCACCCCAACGTCCAGGGCAGTGCTGCTCCCAGCTGCTGAGCTGTCTGGCCTGTTCCTCCTCATGCTGACCTCTTTGAGACGGGTCCCAGTGGGCACCCACCCCCCCGGGGGGGCACGAGCCAGGTGAAGTACTTTGTGGCAGCTCCTCACTAGCCATGGGTCAACATCAGCATCTTCAGGTGAGCTCAGGAGGTCCTCAGTGGATTCCTGGCTGCCCAGGTGATAGGGGGTACGGTGGGCTGAATAAAGGCCCCCAGAGATGCCTGCATCTTCATCCTTGACACCTGTGAATGTGTTACCTTCAATGGCAAAAAGGATTCAGCAGGTGTGATCCATTTAAGGACTCTGGGTGGGAAACGAGTGTGGGTGGTGCAGGTGGGTCTTAAATGTAATCACAAGTGTCCTTGTAAGAGGGAGGCCAAGGGAGACTGACTATGCAGGAGGAGGACGTGTGTTGCCAGAGTGGTATGAGGAGGGGGTCACAAGCCTCTCCATTTTCCACGGAAGAGGCAAGGAAGTGGATTCTCCCTAGAACCTGCAGAAGGAACCAGCCCCGCCAACGCCTTGCCTTTTGTCCACTGAAATGGATTTTGGACTTGTGGCCCTCAGAACCGTAAGCGAATAATTTTATGTTGTACGAAGCCGTCAACTTTGTGATAACCTGTTACAGCAGCCAGAGGGGACACAGGGGGCTTCTGAGACTTCGGGCCCAGGCCGGGGCTCGGGGAAGGGCAGGCCTGTGTGCAGGGGGCAGGTTTTCTCTGGCTCCGCACCGTCACTTCAGGCCACCCTGGCTCAGGTGGGTCCCCCCGGGGCCGCACTGAATCGGTGCAGGTGGTCTGGAGAGGGTGTGTGGGTGGGGAGCCTCTGTGAAAGCTCTTCAGGTTGGCGGCGCTTCTGGAACACACCACAGGCTGTGTAGCGGGAGCTCCAGTCGTGTCTGCGGGATGCTTCCTCCCAATTACCAAGCCCTGGGCCCAGATGCATCTCCCTCCCTGTCTGCTGGGGAAATATCTGCTCCCCGCAGGGCTGGGGGACCGGGGAGAGGGGTGGTGGCCCGCCGCAGAGCCCCTGCTGCCTGACATCCCCCGAGGGCCATGCGGGCCCTCTTCTGTGGAAGGCCCAGGGCCCTCGGGTGGAGATCCGTGCCCACTGTCCCCGAGGACGACCATGCCCGAAGGACCTGACGGATTTCACCGACTTCCCACAGTCAGGACGTCCCGCTCTGGCTGCGAGCCGCAGGGCCCCACACGCTGCCAACAAATAAATCAGCTCGGCTGAACCAGAGCCTGATGCTTGGAAGGCATGAGCGCAGACACTGTCTGGTTGAGACACATGCTTGGTGCCGCAGACGAGACGCAGAGGACGGCCTCCCCGGACTGTCGAGCCGGGCGCTGTGGGCCCCGGGCGGGCATCTGCCTCTGGGAGCTGAGACAAAGGCTCGGGCAGGGAGCAGGGTGGCTCTGTGCCGCAGGCTTGGCACGAGCACAGGGACCTAGCTGCCATCCTCCGGCCCCCCGGGGGGGGGGCACGGCCGCCATCACACGCAGGTCTCACACCCTGCTCGGCCCGCCTGTCTGTCTGTGTTTGGAGACCCTCAGGGTTCACCCAGGCAGGAAGCGGCTTCCAGAAACCCCAAACCCAGAATGGAAAAATAAGAGGAACCAGCCATCTGGCCCGGAGACAACATCCAGGAGGGCAGGAGGACAGAGCCGAGTCCTCCACGGAAACGGAGGCCAAGCTGCACGTCGGCTTCCCGCTGGCCAGAGCAAAGAGAGAAATGTGGCCGGTTGTGGGGGCCTCGCTGCCAGAGGTAGGCGGCAGGTACCTGGCAGCCAGGGGATAGTGGTGGGCGTCAGCGACCTGCCTGCCATTGCCGGAGGGCTTTCTCTGAGCCACACTCCGCTCATGTTCCTGCACACTGGGGCAAAGGAAGCTCCCGGAGGGAGATGCTGACTGGCCCCCAGGCCTTTTACGGGGTGAGGGGGGAGCGGAGCCTTGAACTCAGGTCCTTCCGACCAAAGTGGGCCCGCACTCTCTCACCCGAATTACTGCAGCCATGCGAGTCAGCCTGTGTGCCCGCATGCACACACACTGCGATTCAAAATCGCAACCCCCCCGACCCCTCCCACGCCGAGGGCATCTGCTTGGGCCTGGGGAGACCAGGAGCGGCATTCCCTCCCCCTGAGGACTGACACCCAGATGGACGATGCCCAGGTAGTAGGGGGTTGGAATCCCTTCCTCAGACCCCAGGCCTGGGCAGGGGGGCAGGGCGGCAGGGCTGCTGAAGCTGGAGCACTGAGCCTGGGGAGGGCTGGGGTGGCGTATGACCTGGACTTGGCTTTGTCACTGGCCTTAGCAGCCCCGGTGGCCATGGTGTTCACCTGGACTTGGAGAGACCCCGAAGTCATGATTCATCTTGGGTGACAGACCCCAGTACCAGAGCTTCTGTGTGACTCTGGAGGTTTGCCCACCTGGTTTTAATTCCTTCTCAGCAAAACGAAACCAAACCAGCCCTCTGGGGCTGTTACGGATGTGCAGCCACGTGGGACACCAACTACAAGCAGGTTTCTTTCCTGTCATCCTTGCTGAGAACCGTGCTGACTTTCATCTCTTTTCTCTTGTTGCCAAAGATGCTGATTTCCCTCCAGATTCCCTCCCACACCCACCATCCTTCCCTAGCTCGCTGCCCACCTCCTCCCCGCCCCACCACTCCGCACTCCCAAACCCCACACCAGCCGGTCCGTGCAGAGAGACAGGGACGGGGGAAGGAGACACAACGCAGCCCTCTTCCACCCGAGGGGGCCAGGAACCGCCCCGCACTCCCCGACCCACTGCGGCCACCAGCTGGGCACCGCCTCAGCCTGGCTGCCCCCGTTTGGTGGCCATTCAAAGAATTCCTCCCACAACAGATGCCCTGCGGGGTCCCAGAAAGCAGGTCTGCGCCCCCTCTCTGACTATCAGGGCCTGACTCACTTCAAGATGACAGTGGGGGCCGTCCACACTGCTGACCTCCAGGAGAAGGGGGTCCCAGCCACAGATGCCACCTGGCTTCCTCTGTGATCACTAGGCCACTTTAAAATGCAATGTCTGCTCTTACTTGCAACAGAGATGCTGCGAACTTTAAACCTTGCAAAGGGATCCAATTTGACCTCGAAGTCTCACACAGTAATCCGGGGGGGGGGGGGGGGTGTGCCGTACCACCAAAGACCCTGGCCACAGGAGCCACCGGAGGCCCTATATGGGTCAGCAGTGGCTGCTTATTCCTGCTTATATGGGTAAGCAGCAGCTTATTCCTTCAGTTTATACCCGAGCACTGTGAGCTCCATTCCCAGAGTCCACAGTCCCAAGGAAGCAAAGAAGCCAGTCTCTGTGACCCCCAAACGCCCCCAGGGGGGCCCCTCGGCACTATCTTGAGCGTTGCTGCCCTAACAGTCGGGCCACGTCAGCTTGACAATAAGCCTCTTTAGCTTATCCGCTCCAAACCAGACCCCACACGTGCTCAAGTCAGCTCCAGGGAAAGCAGAAAAATAATCAAGGTTCCAATTTTAAAAGCAAACCGTGCTTGGTGTCTCATGGCCCTTGGAGGATTTTTCAAAGCCTTTCATGTCTGTTCTTCCATTTATCCAGACGGGGACGGTGCGGAATAGGGACTATTCCCATTTTACAGATGGGGAGGCAGGCTCAGCAAGGTGGACAGAATCCCAGAGCTGCCCAGGACTAGGTGGTCCAGGCCAGGGTGCGGGAGGCTGGGGCCGCCGGCTCAAAGATACTGGAGGGCTCAGGCCTCCCTCCCTCCCCTGGTGGCTGCAACAGTGTCATAGCTTAGGAATGGCTTGTGCTCCCAGACCTCCGGGGGGCCGGTCACAACATGCTCATGCCGTCTCCTGTCTGAGCTGCCAGGACTTAGAAATATGCCCGTCCCTCCATCCAGACTGGCCAGAAATGGCCATCTGGTGGCTCCATTTCACAGGTCAGGGGAGGGGACAGTGGTCTTTAGTGAGGCCCGTTTTGCTGAGCCTGGAAGAGCATGGACACCCTCTGTGAGGAGCATGACAGAAGCACGGGCCAGAACTGACCCCTTCTATCCCCAGGCCCTGCGTGAGGCCTCATGCACGGGTGAATGACAGTGGACGAGAGCACCCTGGTTACCAGGGAAACTGGGGCAGCCAGACCCCCTGTCTGTGCCCCCTCCGTCACGCAGGCAGACTGGACCCTGTTTCTCATCCGTCTCCCTTTGCAGATCAGAGCTGCCCAAGAGTGACGTGGTGCCCAGTCTGCCACCGGCCACACCTCTAACAAGCTCCTCCAGCCCGATGTTGTTAATCAGGCAGATGTTGGGCCGAGCGGGGTGAGGCCAGGACCCAGATGGAGCTGGTGCCCCAGGTGGCTGGACGTCATCCATCCCTGCGGTCCCACCTGGAGCTGGTGGGGTGAGTCCCACCTGGGCTGGGACCCTGCCAAGCACACCCCACTGAAAGCCGCTGAGCTGCGAGCCAGACACTCACCTCATACAGCAGACAGCCCAGAGACCAGATGTCAGACTTGAAGTTGTAGCCGTTCTCGTGGATCCTCTCCGGTGACATGTAGTAAGGCGTCCCCACTGAAACACAGGACGGGGGTGGGTGGGTGCTTATGCTGTGTGCAGAGAAGGATGTGAGGGGGAAGGGAAGGCGTGGGCGTTGGGGAGATCAGGCCTCGGGCTCCCTCTCCTCCTCTCCCCGGCTCAGTCAGATGAGAGGGCTAGGCCAGACTGGAGCTCCCATACTGGGGAGGGCACTAAAAGCCCCTGGGGACAGGGCCGGCCCCAGACCTGAGACTTGGTCTGGGGGCTGGGCAGCTGGGGATACATGTTTCTGCCAAGTGTCCAGGGGAGTGGGATGCAGTGGCCAGGCTCTGGGAAGCAAATGATCAACTGTCCTTTCAGGTGGGTGCTTGAATCCTAGAAGAGCCCAGATAAGGCTCTCAACAGTGGGAAAAAACCAACCCCTGTTAACGCTGACCGAAGCTCATCACATGTGTTAGCTCATCTGTGTTCCTAACAGTCCCCCGGCGAGGCACACCCCCTTTACAGATAGGGAAACGGAGGCTCAGGAAAGCGGCAGGACTGAGGTTCAAAATCAGATCTCTGGGCTCTAGAGAGTGAGCTCTTAGCTACCACCGACCGGCATGTCCGGACTTGGGGTTGGCCAAGATTTCTTACATCAAACCAAGGACAGAAAAGATAGTAACCATAAACGAAAAGACTGATAAATTGGGGCTTCATTAAAATTAGGAACTTCAGTTCCCCAAAAGACCCGTTCAGAGAATCGAGAGGCAAGCCACAGGTGGGGAGAAAATAGTCTCCATACATACGCCCAACAATGGCCCCAAACGCAGGATAGATTTTAAAACTTCTGTAAATCATTAAGTAAAAGACAGCTTTTCCGTCTGGGCTGCCGACATGCCATCCAGACTGAGGAAGACCCGGAAACTTCGGGGCCACGTGAGCCACGGCCACGGCCGCATCGGCAAGCCCCGGAAGCACCCAGGAGGCCGGGGTAGTGCTGGTGGCATGCATCACCACAGGAAACTTCGACAAATGTCACCCAGGTTACTTTGGAAAAGTTGGTATGAGACATTACCACTTAAAGAGAAACCAGAGCTTCTGCCCAACTGTCAACCTTGATAAACTGTGGACCTTGGTCAGTGAGCAGACACAGGTAAATGCCGCCAAAAACAAGGCTGGAGCTGCTCCTATCCTTGATGTGGTGCGATCGGGCTACTACAAAGTTTTGGGAAAGGGAAAACTCCCAAAACAGCCTGTCATCATGAAGGCCAAATTCTTCAGTAGAGGAACAGAGAAGAAGATTAAGGGTGTCGGGGGCGCCTGCGTTCTAGTAGCTTGAAGACACGTTTGGGGGGGTTCATTAAATGCTCACAAGTGCTTTTCTCAAAAACAAAACAAAACAAAAACCCAACCCCTCCCAAATTTGCAGAAGACTTAAAAGGGCACTTCACAAAAGAGGAAGATCCAAGCAGCCAGGAAGCACATGAAACGATCTTCTTCTCATCAGTCATCAGGGCAAATTAAAAGCACACTGAGATACGACCACCCACCCACCTGAATGGTTAAAGTTAAAAAGACTGCTATCAACCAACTCAGGGACGTGTGGAGAAACTGGAACCCTCATGCGTTGCTGATGGGGACAAAAAATGGAACCCCCACCCTGGAAAACCATGCACCACAGCATCTACTACAGCCAAAAAACACTGCCGACACCATAACCTGGCAGGTCTGCTCCCAGGGAGATGCCTGAAAAAACCGAGCGCTTCTGTCCATCAAGAGACGTGATCAAGAATGTGCAAAAGGCTTTACTCATAATAGCCAAAAACTGGAAACAGTAGAAGTGGCCTATTCACACGATGGAATACTATGCAGCAACAAACAAGAACAAACCTCGGGTACACGCACGCCACCAAATGGATCCATCTCACAGGCATGATGCTCAGTGAAAGCCGGGCACACACTATCTGATCCCATTTTTATCAAGAACAGGACATGTATGTATGTCCCATCTCAGTTAAAAAGCAGAGGGGGCACACTTTTGATGATCTGGAACGGTACAGAGAGGAGAGGATTTCCTGAGAGGAGGTGAGCTCCCCGTCACCAGAGGCATGCGCATTGCAGCAGAGGGGCTGCTTTGGCAGGGCTGAGAAGGGACCCAGAGTCTGGATTTGTAAACAGATCTGTGGTCTGAGACTCTGAGCTCAGTCTATTTGGAGGATGACTGTTCTGGATACTTTTAGATCAGACTTTGAAGGCTGTTACACAGACAGCATTTTCACCGGCCTGCAGAGACCATGCGAATGTGATGGTGGTTGCTGCTGGTCCAGCCAAAGTCAGGAGCCGGAGTTCAGCTCGGCGGAGGCTGAGCCCGAGATGCGGTTTATGACCTAGGAAGGAGGGAGGTCCTGCACCACGAAACGCATGTGCCCCTGGGGGAGAACAGGCCTTTCAGTGAGCTGGAAAACAACAGGCACCCCAAAGCAGGGGCCCAGGCTTCAGAAGTTCGTGGGCCAAAGACGTCTTGGGGCAACTTTAGTTCTGCCAAGTCAGGGTGTTTTAAAAGTACAAAACCCCAACTACCATTTAATGGTGTCACTATTCTTTTAAAAAGAGAAGACAGTTGAACACCAGCGTAAGTGGAAAAACTCATAATCTCAAACTCAAGGACAGTCCTTTGCATTGAAAAGTTTAGCTGTTTGAAAGCTTTATTACCTTCCTGTGCGTCTCGTCTCGTTAGAGATGGGTGGGAAGTGGTTTCGGCCAACCTGTAGAGGCTGTGAATGGAGGTGGGAAGGCCTGCTCTGGGCTTGACCTCCCTGGGGCAGGACCTTGTTTACCAAAGGGTCCCAGTGCCCTGCCTAGGACCAGGGCACAGGGGGCACCTTCTAAGCACCTACTATGTCGATGAATCTGTACGCATCTTATCACTGTTAACATCATTTTCTTGCAGCCTAGCGCACCGTCCACTTAATGTGCTACCCCCAGAGGGACTCCCTGATTGTTGCTCTATGTGGACACCAACCGCCCTTTGATGGCAATAATCCCCAACAAGGACAGCAGCCATCACTTAAATACATGTTGGAAGGATGTGTCATCCTATCAGCAGGCTGTTATCCAGCGGAAAGAGTTGTCAGTCAACATATGAATCCATGTGGGATTCTGTAAACAAATTGCACCTTCAAGGAGCAACCCCTTGAATATTCTGGTCATGAGGCAGCAAAATAAACGGGCAAGTACGAAATGGATGACTTGTTACATGAAACCACAGGATGGAATCCAAACAGCTCTCAGCAGCTCTCGACCACACCGTACATGACTCTGGTACCCAGGATGCTGCGGATGGAGGTCAGAGGTCCCACCCTCAGCGAGGGACAGCAATGTCTGCAGCTGGCCACCCTGCACCCCTACCCCCCGGCCCAGCCCCTTGGGACTGGGAGCACAGGCTGGCCCTGACGCCTCTCGCCACCCTCAGTCTTGTCCTCTGCTCATCTGAGACCCACCTGGGCCTCTGGAGGAGGAACTCGGGGACAGATGACCTGTGGAGTGGCCAGGCCCACCAGAAGATGGTGAGTGCCTGGCCGCTGCTGGAGTCCCTTACACGGCTACCCCAGCCCAACCCCACCTGCTCTTCAGTTCACCTCTGTGTCTTTGCACCTGCTGATCCCCTTGCCTCCAAGGGGGCTCCTTTGTGGTCTAGTTCAGCTGCCCCCCCCGCCCCCCTCCCCCCGGCCAGGAAAAGCCAGCTGCTCAGTGAGGCCTGGACATTTGGTTTATCCCTTCTCTTCTGTTACCACTTTGTCCCTCTGCTGGGGCTCCAGATCCCTCCTCAGGCCTATGTGTGGTGAAAGCCTTGGGGAACGCGGGGAAAGAAGGGTCAAGGAACACCACCACCCCTTCTCCTCCGTGCTCCCCCCAAACATCAACGCCTCCATGGCTCTTTCTGCTTTTACCCCTGTTTCCACAGTGCAAGGGAAAGGCAAACACCCAAAGGTGCTGTGGACCTTCTCCTAAGATGCCAGGGCTGCAGGTACCATCCATCCATCCCTCTATCCAACTGTCCGTCCGTCCAGCCAGCCAGCCATCCACCCACCCACCCATCATCACCCATCGTCTGCTTGTCTCTCCATCCATCAGTCTGTCCATCCATCCACCTGTCCATCCGTTTATCCGTCCTTCTGCATCCAATGTTGACTGAGCCTTGATGTTGTGCTGGGCCCTCCCAGGAGTGGGCCCATCAGGAAGGAGTGGGTTGTCAGTCCCTGGAAGTGTCCAGAAGGACACAGAGAAAGACTGGACTGACCTGGAGCTGCAGCTGAATCACTTGGATGAGCCTGTTGAAAATCTGGACCCTGGCCCCCCCAGACCTGTGGGCTCAGCATCTCCAGGGCTGGCACTCGGACACCGTCTCTCTTGCGAGCTCCCCGAAGAGGCTGACGCATGTCACAGTCTGTGGAGCTGGGCAAAGCCTCCCCCAACCCCCGCACCCGACAGCTTTAGAGCTCAGACACCTGTGGCACAAAGGAATGTACGCAGCGTTAACTGAGGGAAACCTGGCCTGTCCACGCCAGGCACTGGGTCTTCGTGTCCCCACCCCTAGGCAGGTTCTCCAGGTCCCTGGACCCCGTCTGCGAGCCTTAGAGTTGGGGTGCTCAGCATTCTGCCACCTACCCCTGGGAATCCATCTGTAAAACCTGCTTTCCAGCCCGACAACAGATACTCAAACATTATGAAGCATAATGCACAACTTGCATGAGCTGTCAAGATAAAATGAGACACTTCAAAGAAATTCCAAGCTTGCAGCGGGCCCTGGAGGATGTATCCCCAAGCCCCAGGGGAGCAGCGATTCTGGGGAAGAGTGGGAGAAGCTGACAAGAGGAGGGGCCCCCTGAAGGCCTCACCCGGCTCGGGCCCTAGTCCTGCCCCAGGGGCCCCGGGGCGCTGCCCGGCCAAGCTGCAGCACAGACTCCGGAGACGCTCCGGCGGGCCGAGCCCCTTCTCGCGGCCTCCCCACTGGATCCTGGGCCCGCCAGCTCCCAGGCCGGCCCCCACCCTCACTCCCCGCAGCGGGGGACGGAGCTGGCATATGAAACAGAAGCCTAACAATCCCTGACCTTCCCGGCACCGTCTTTGCCTAGAACTCCCGGACTGGGTGGATATTAGAGGAGGACGTGGGACCTCAAAGCGGAGGCTGATTAAAGGGGCCGCATCCCGGAGACGCACCACTCCTGTCAAAACAAACTTTGCTGCGTCTGGAGATGCTCACCGTGTTTGAAACGTGTTCATTAGATGTGGAAAAGGCAGAGATTTCACAGGAAGGGGAGGCTGGCGTCTGTGGGCTGCACTTCTTGCCCACATGGCGGTTTTGAAAATGGCTGGAGAAACGTGGGGTCCCCGCCCGACACCCCGCACCCCAGGTGTGCCTGGGGGCTGGGACCCGGTGTGCAATCTGAGCAGCACAGGTGGGGCGCGCAGACTTCCACCAGTCAGCAGGAGAGCACTGAAATTCTCTCCCAGCCTCAGTTTCCCCGCTGGTGCAACAGAGGGCTTGCGCTGGAGGGTCCCCAGAGTCCTCCCCTTCACCCTTTGGAGCCTTGGTTTCCCTCCCTGGAAAACGGGGACAGTGCAACTGACCTCACATGTGCAGGGGGAAGGGCTCTGGGAAGTCCCGCAGAGCCCCAGGGGGAGAGGTGGGCTGTGGACAGGGGGGCTGAGGTGGCAAAGGGAGCAGGGGAACAACGCAGGAGGGAGCCAAAACCAGATTCTGGAACCTGAGCGGCTTCCTCGGGGCTGGGCCTGGGGATCTGCACTTTTGTCTGTGATCTGTCCTATGAAACTCCCCACCCCCAACGTCCATCCAGGCCCCCCATCCTGAGGGGGCTCCCCTCCTCTCCGCCCCAGCTGCTGCCCCACCCCACTGGCTTGGACCACCAACTGGCCTAACCTCCCTGTCCTGCCCTTCCCCCCACCCTTCCTCTGCTCCCCAAGCCAGACTGGCTGCTCATCCCCCGAGGAGAAGGCCGGGTCCTCAGCTGGGCATGCGAGGCCTCCCCAGACTGGCCCTGCTCCCCCGCCAACACTGCGCGCGCGTGCGCGCGCGCACACACACACGCACACACACACGCGCACACACACACACACACACACCCTACAGGTCCTCCTCAAACCACCAGCCACCCCCGTGCAGGGCTACACACAGCCCTCAGGGGAATCCCCGCCCTCGAGAAAACACTGCACTGTGCTCGGCGTGGGCTTAATTTCAGATTGTTACATCTGTACGAGTATCTGGCTACGTCCAGTTCCCACGCCGAGGGTCTCCAGCGGAGGTGCACATCGGGTCACACAACGCTCCAGCTTTGTGCAGCACCCCGTTATGCACGTATCAGTGTCTCTCCCAAGAAGGCCCGGGGGTGGGGGGTCTTGGATGGGAAGGTGCATGGCCATGCCCCTCACCGCCTCGTGGCTCTGGCTGGAGCGTCCTGCAGGGCCTCGCACGGCAAAGGTGCTCATCTCGCAGCACCTGGGGCTTCCTCCTCTGTTAAGTGACTGGGGTGATCCCCACCCCCAGGGAGGCTGCAGCTCTAGTCGCCAGAGTACCTGCGATGTGATTCTTAGAACTGTGCTAGGCTGGCACTGAAAACTCTAAATGGATTCTCCCCCCAGACTGTAAGTTCCAGAAAGCAGGGGCCTTCCTGGGGAGCGGCCTGGGGCCTGGCACGAGTCCTGCTAAGTGGATGAGTGGACACACAGGTGAGCTGTGGTTTGTTTCCTAGCCAGGGTCCATTCTTCCTGTGCTGGCCCCTGGAGACCTTCTCCTTCCCTCTCTGGCGTCAGCTCACCTAGGAACAGTTTGTGCCCTAAAAATGCCATGAGTGTGGCAGACAAGCCAGGTGCCCCTTGCCAGCCAGGTGCGACCACCCAGGACCTCCACCAGGTCAGCGTTCAGAACCTGGATCTACCTGCTAAAGCAGGTTTCCTGGGCCAAAGATTCCCCAGCGTCCTGGGCCTCTGGGATGGGCAGGCGTAGGCCCAGGGAACACATCTGCATGGCGCTCTGTGCCCCCACTGATGGATCCCCTGGGGCGCTTGGCGGTGAGGACCGTGTGCCCACTCAGCAAATGTTCCCCAGGGCCTACCCAGTGCCGAGCATGGGCACACTCCCAGGAGGCTCCATCCTTCCCTGCTGCCCAGGACAAGCCCCCAAGTCCCAGGCGGCCCCTGCTGGGAGGGTAGATGGGCTCCCCGTCCCCCCTGAATGGCTGGGCCCCCAGTGAGCTCATCAGGACTCAAGCCCACCTCCCAGCACGCTGTGACTGTGCCCGGAGGGGAGTGGACACCCCAGGGGGGCTCTCGTCCCTGCCAGCCAGGTGACCACGGGGATGTGGAATCTCTCCCTCTGAGCCTCAGCGTCCTCATCTGTCAAATGGAGATCAGAAACCTTGTTGGAGGGGCACCTGGGTGGTTCAGCCGTTAAGAGTCTGCCTTTGGCTCAGGTCATTATCTCAGGGTCCTGGGATTGAGCCCCACATCGGGCTCCCTGCTCGGTGGGAAGCCTACTTCTCCCTCTCCCACTCCCCCTGCTTGTGTTCCCTCTCTTGCTGTGTCTTTCTCTGTCAAATAAATAAATAAAATCTTAAAAAAAAAAGAAAAGAAAAGAAACCTTGTTGGGATGACTTTTTAAAAAGCAAAATGTTTTCCCAACATCCTTTAAGCCTTGTCTTCTTTGCCAAGTCACCTCTTTGGTGAGATCAGTGACCACAGAAAACCGAAGTCAAGGGCAGCCCTGGGAGGGGCAAACGCAGCCCCAGGCCCCCAGCGGTTCCCGGGCTCGGCAGGGCACAGTTTAGAGATGGGGAGCCCGGCACCTCGCGTGTACACAGTGGGCCCTCGGGAGACAGTTCTGCCCACCCCTTTACCAGGCCACCCTGGGACTGACTGTCCCTGTCCCCCGACCAGTCTGGGGGCCTCCTGGAAGCAGGGAAGGCTGCATAATCTCATCCCTAGCGCCCAGCCCAGGGCCGGGGCGGTTGGCTCAGGAAGGGAGAAGGAAGGAAGCTATGCCCCGTGGTCAGGCCAGGGGCTGACAGCCTGGGGAAGCCAGCGTGCTCTGACCACTGTACCCGACGGGGCTGCCCCCGATCGGACCTGTTCCCCAGCCCCTGAGAGGCGGGGTGAGGCCCGGCACTGCCCACCCGAGCCCAGCCTGCGGCCGCCCTGCCTCTGCTCCCGAACAAGCAGGGCCTGCTCTCCCGGCCCTACCATTTGTCTTGCAGCTGCTGCCATTGCTTGGAGCGAGACGCTTGCTTGTAGCTTGTGAGCTGTGTATGGGCAAATCTTTCATTTTTCTTTCATTACGCCGGCGTGTACTGTCACTTAATTTTTATGTATGCAATCCTTCCTGACAAATATGATCTGCTGCCTGGTAATTCGTCTGACGCTCATTCTGTTCCGAGCTCTAATTACGGCTCCTATTCCTGACACCGAGGCAGCCGCTCTGCCACCGCTGGGTACCGCACCTGTCAGCCCGGCCATGGCATGACTAATGCCCTTTCATGCCAGCCGCGTGTTAGCAAATACAGGGGGAGGGAGAGGCAGGAGGGGATGGGATTTGCATAAACCTTGCGGGGGGCGGGGGGTCAGCGGCCTTGGCCACAGGAGAGGAGGTGGTTGCCGGGGCAACGTGGCTGTCCCCACAGCATCCCCACATAGTAGGTGCGCAGATGCGGTGGATGCATAATTCATGGCCACGCACAGGGGCAAAGGAGCCCTGAGCCCGAGTCCTTACGGAGTCACAATACAATGGCAATTAGTTCAGTCTCCTGCCCGACCAAATGTGTGCAGGAGACTGCAGACCCTCACAGTGGAGAGGGGGCCTTTCCTCCTGCGTCTGGGGGACTCGGGTCCTGGGTTTCAGCTCTGCCCTGTGCCTGTGGTGGAGCCCGGCCCGCGGGCCTGAGAGCCGGTCCTGGGCGCAGGGCATCGCTGTGTCAGCTCGGGGCGTCTCCTGGACACGGGCACAAGGCCCCCCAGGAGGGCTCCTTCCATCCATCACTCAGCCCGGCCGCTGCTCGGAGGCCTCGGGAAGAGCCCGGCCTAGCGAGCAGCCTTTTCCCAAGTTCCAATTCCTTCTCATTAATATAATAAGTGCACCAGTCCAAGTCGATCAACTCACGCTGTCGGACGAGCCCGTATTTCTGCCCGTTCCTGATGCTGTGATCCTAACCGGCTCTGACGAGCGCCGCAGCCTCCTTGGTGGAGGGGCCTGACTGACATGGGACGGAGCCAGTGGCTTGAACTCTTCTCTTTGACAGTTGCCCTTGAATTTCTGACCTTTTGAAGCCCTTAAACCAGAGCGGTACACAGTCCCAAACTCACTGAAACACTTTGATTTTCCTAAGGAAGGGTCTGAGGGGACCGGGGAAGCCAAGGCTTCCTCGCAGCACAGCCGGCTGGGGGCTGAGAGGGAGAGCCAGCCCCACCCTCCAAGGCCCAGCCGCCGTCTTCTGGAGAAGTCTGGGCTCCGGAGGAGAGGCCCGGGTTCGAGTCCTGGCTCTGCCACTACGTAACTCACGTGTATCACTCGAGCTCCCTGGGTTCCAGATTCCTCGTTCGCACAAAGGATCCAACAGACCCTCGCGGCTACTGGAGGTGTGAGTACAGTGTCGTCAGCTCGGGGGAGGGTGGGTCCTGCGCGTCCTTTCAAACCCCGCCCCCCACACTCTTGCACATGCACTCAGGCACACGCATGCACACTCGCTCACTCCAGCAAGCGGCTCGGAGCCGTCGATTCCCAGTTAGCGCATTTCTCCTGATTGCGTGCTTCACCCCGAGAGCCTCCAAGCCCTCGGGACCTGTACGAACAGTGACAGATTCCACCAGGAAAGTGTGTCTTCCAGAAAGCACCTCCGCTGTCACCAGAAGCGGCTGTTGGTACTTACGGCATGCTGCAGGTACTCGGGGAGAGCACGGGGGACCCGTGGGCTGGGGCCGCGGAGGGTGGAGTGCTTTCCGAGCGAGGCGGTCAGAGAGCCGGGAACGGGCCGGTGGGGGAAGCAGGACGCCCCTGTCATATCTGAGTCCTTCCCACCCGGCCCTGGTTAAATGCTGATATGCCCTGCTGTCACGCACGGGGGACCCTACTTCCACGTTCCCCTGGGGGCTCTGCTGGTTTCTGTATTCTAATCAAATGCAAACTCCTCATTCTCCACCATTCTATGAGTCACACCCAGTCACGTACCCGGTGTATGGATTCTGAACTGGGCATCGCTTCAGGTAACCCGAAACCCACACCTGCCCAAGTGTGTTCCCAAGTCCAGCCCTCAGGGGCTCCTGAACGGTGCCAGCCTGCCAAGCTCGGGCACTTAGGCCCCCCCACCCGCAGCACCCCTGTGCGCCCCTGCGTGCCCTGCCCTCTGTCCCCTCCTACTGGGTGAGAACCTCGTCCCTGCAGCTTCAAAACTGCCTGTTTAAAAGCCAAAAACTTGAAATAGCTCCATTGTCCCCCACCAGGAGAAGCGGACCGAGTCCCATGCGGGGGAACATGACACGGCAACGAGAAAGACAGACAGCCGCCTTGTACGACAACAGAGCTGCACAAAATGGGCTCCGCCATCCTTTCTGGAAGGGGCATGGAGCAGTGTGAGGATGAGCGGAGCCCCATCCAAGGCTTCTCAGGGCCTCAGTTTACCCCCTCTGGGTCACTATCGTGAAGAGGTAAATAAAGACCGGGACTCAGGAAGGCATTTTCCTGCATTAACGAACCAAAGGCTCTGTGCGGAGAATGTCCGCATCTCCCCACGCGGTCACCCAGGACCTCCAGCAGCTGCTGGGACGTCTTGACAGGCCTCCTTACCTAGGGAGTGGGCTGCGGTGGTCTCAGAGCTGAAGAAGCGTCCCAGGCCAAGGTCACCAAGCTTCACGACACCCGTGGCCGTGATGAACACGTTGGCGGGCTTGATGTCTGCCGAGGAAGGAGAAGGCAGTTGGCGTGGGGCTAGGAGGTCGGGGGGGTGGGGCGGGACAGGCAGCACTGAGCACCGTGCCGGTCCTCAGGGTATCCGAGAGTGGGCACGTGTGTGAGGCCCTGACCTGGACTCACTGACGCCCCTCAGGACGGGCAAGATGCACGACAGCCACCTGGCTGGGTAACACGATGTGGTATGACGTCCTCGTGGATGTCCCCAGAGCCAGAGAGAGGGGAGGCAACGTGGCATCCCGGGCCCCAGGGGCGCCTGGCCTCCCGCTGGCTCCGGGCCCCGCAGCCCGGGGGGGGGGCCCGGCACGTACCTCGGTGCATCACTCGGCGTGAGTGCATGTGCTCCACGGCGCTGCACAGCTGGGCAAAGTACTTCCACACTGTCCTCTCGGGGATGAGCCGCTTCTGCTTCTTAAAGTACTGGCGAGGGGAAGACACACAGGCCTGGGTGACGGGCTGCAGGGCAGGGCCCCTGTCCTGTCCCCAGTGGTAGCCAGTCCCCGGCACAGGGTGGGTGGGTGGGCTGCTGAACCAACAGTAAGTTTAGGACAAAGGGGGCCATCTCCCCATCTGTGCTTCAGCCCAAACTGCCCTCCACGGACCCCCGTCTGCCCCCGGCCCCGCGCTGACCTCCCGGAGGCTGGGGCAGGCCGGGCCCTGACTGCGTGTCCTGGATGGCTCTGCGGACTACACCCTGAAGGCTGCTCGCGATCACACTTGTTCGGGCATTTTCTGGACACACGCCCGTCTCTTCCCACGGCTGTGCCCCGAGCCCCAGTCTGGCCCACACCGCGGGCACCCGATGCCCGGGGGTGAAGTCGAAGCCGCCCCGTCCCTGGGAACCAGCAAATCTCAGGGCATGCGATCGTTCACCAAGGCAGCAGGGACCTCGAGGAAATGGCTTGACATTCTTCACTGGACCCCCAGTTTCAACAGGCCATTAATTGACTTCATTGCCCCAAAAAACATATTTGATGCTCCAGAAAACCAAACCAAACCCCCAAAACCACCCAAGCTGCACTGAGTGCGCTGTAAGTAACCAAAGGCCCTGGAAGGAGCGAACCAAGAACAGATCATCGTCCACGTCCCTTCCGGGGAGTCTCCTGTGTGCCGGGCCCGAGGCCAGGAACCTGAGGACCAGGTTGTTGTCCAGAGGCTTTTGCCTCAGAACAACCATCGTTTCCAAAGCAGCCAGAGGCGAAGCTGTGGGCCCACTGGTCCGGGCAGCCACTCTGTGCACGGAAGACCGGGGCTGACCCAGGACGCACGCCTGGCCTGGGGAAGGGAGTGTGGAGTGGAACATAGGACCTGGGGTAACGTGCCGAGCGCTGGCCACGTGCAGCCACCTTGCTGGGCCCTTAGCAGGGTGACGGCACCCATCTTACAGATGAGGAAACCAAGGGCCACTCAGGAGCCGGTAAGGGGCAGTCACAGCCAGAACAACCCCGGGCCTTGCGCCTACAAAGGCCAAGCTCTTAACCCTAATTAACTTCGAATGACACCAGTAACCACCAGATGAGCGACTGAGCTTAGAGAGGTTCGGGAACTTGCCCAAGGTCACCCCGCCGGAGCGCCAGAGCTGGGACCAGATCCGGGCACCTCCAACAACGGGACAGTCCTAGCTGGAAGCCCGTGGCCTGGCAGGAAAACCCCATGAGGCTCTCCCGAGGCTCCATTCTGGGAGAGGGACCTCACGGATGAGCGAGGCTACAGCCCAGACCGCTAGCACGGGACCCCCCTCCCCGCTCCCCCCCGCCACCCCAGGCCTCCGTGGTGGGCTGGGCTGCAGTGTTATTTACGCTGTGATGTTGGTTAATCCTCATTACTGCTTTTAAGCTCGGCTGTGAATGGTGATTTTCTAAATGTCACGTCCTGTAAGCGCCATGTGACATTTAGCGGGAAGGCGCGGAGTCTCTGGTGGGTTTTGGGGTGGCGGCAACTCTCAGCTTCACTGTCCATCATAAATGACGCTGGCACCGTGGCGGTGGTGGCACTGGTTGGCCTGAGGCGGCAGGCCCCTGGGACGCAGGGTCTACTGCTCAGCAGCCTCCAGGCTAGCCCAGTGGGGTGACCATGGTGCAGAGGCAGCCGGGGCCCTAGCAAGGCCCCCATATCCCCCTCAAGCCCAGAGGCAGCTGGAGAGTTAGGAAGGCCAGGGAAGCTGAGCTCCTACCAAGCCCCAGGCATTGGGTAAGTATATTACAGATGGGGAAACTGAGGCATAGGGACCGGCCCAAGGGAGGAGGGTCGAGCAGGGGTGTGACTGCAGACCAAGGGTCTCTCTTCTGCCCTGCCTTGCCTCTCCCGCTTGCTGGGGGCAGCACCCAGCCAGGCCCTGCAGGTGAAGGGCCTGGAGCTGCAGCAGAGGGAAGAGGAGGAGGCAGGAAGGGGCAAGGGCCCCATGACCGTGGGAGCGGGGGCACCGTGCCAGGAGAACAGGGCTCCTGAAATGGGGCCAGGAAGCCAGGATCTGCCCCAGAAACCCCGTGGGTGAGCGACCGACTTGAGCCCTGGGGTGGTGTGGGCCCCGAGGAGGCCAGGGAAGTGCACAGAGGGGGCACCACACCCCAGGCCAGGCACAAGGTGCTGGCCACTCATGTGGTCTCCCTCCTCTCTTTTCCCTGGAAGGAGCCTGCACCCAGCCCCGCGGCTCCCACAGTCCCCAGTGCATCCCCAGGACAGAGATGGAAGCAGAGCTTTGTGGACAAGGGGTTTGATTTGCCCAGTTTCCCCTACACCCCACTGTTTAACCCCAGTCCCCACTCTGTGGACTGAGAGGCTGCAAGGAGTCTGGGGTCTGCAGGGCCTTTAGGGGGCAGCACCCTCGCCATGGGCCACACTCCAGGGCCCTTCCTCTGTCTCCCCTCCACCTCCTGTGCACTGCCTCCGTCCCCAGCCCCCATCCCTCCTCTACAGAGCATCTAGCCTTTCTTCTAGAACACAGTGCTGACCATGCCTACTCCCCACTGTGAGTCCTAGGAAGCTCCTTGCCGACGTTAGGGCAAGGTCTCAAATCCTGGGGCTGGATGGTGAGGCCCTGGGTGACCTGACTACCTCGCCTCTCCCCTCAACCCTTGCCTCCACCTCAACCAGGGCTTTGTGGACCCTGGACTGTTCATCCCACTGGGCTCTTGCACAAGCTGTTCTGCCCCTAGACTGCTGCTCTCTCCTTGTAGGGCTCAGCTCAGGTGTCACCTCCTCCAGGGAGCCTTCCCGGGCTCCCACAGGCCCTGAGCTTGGCTCGCTCACACTGGCTTGTGACTGTCCATTTATGGGTCTGCCCTCCTGTTAGAAGGCGAGCTCCCTGAGGGCAGCACCCACGCTGAGGTCTCAGCACGGGGGCTGGCGCACAGAGCGTGTGGGATGCGTGCATGTTCGGCAGTAGAACAACAGGAAGGAGAATGGCGGCGGGGGTTGGGGGAGGAGGAGGAACTGAGACATGATAGAGCACATCTGTTCCCACCAGGGATCTGTGTGGAGATTAACATCCCTGCAAACACATTAATATGTCAACGAAAATATAAAAGCAGGTGATAACAGCTCAAGTAATGCCGCTTCCCAACGACGCCCCAATTCCTAGGAGCCAAATTTCAGAAGAGCAAGCGCGGAGCAATTGCTCAATCCCCAGCGCCTGGTGGAAAAGACAGAGAATCCATGTCTGGCCCTGTTTGCAAGTGTTGCTGGGAGCAAGGTGGGGGCTCCAGCGTAGCTGGCCTCGCTCAGAAGCAGACAGACTGGGCTGGGGGAGGGAGGCAGTGGGGGCCCACAAAGGCCAGCATGCGGACTGGTCAAGCCAGCAGGGGAGCAGGGTCTTGGGCTTAGGGGTCCACACAGAGGCTGTACAGCCTCAGGCTGGTGAATAAACCTCTCTGAGCTTTGCTATCTGAGGACAGCGTGCACTTAGTGAATGATATGTGTGCTCAACATGGTTGTGGCTCAGAGGAGGTGCTCCATCAGTGGAGCTTGATGGTTCCTGAGTCCAGACTCACAGTGGGGGCCTGGTCCTGGGCCCCAGGAGGAGCGGCACTGGGGGCTGAGCAGTACAGGGGAGTCACTCAGCCTCTCAGAGACGTCCGGTCTTGGCCATTACATGGGAACGAAGGGATCCCTCAAGTGCTGGAGGGGCCCCAGGGAGATCTTTCGGGTTGCCGATGTCTGGAGGGCCCCAGGCCGGGAAACAGAGCTGGGCCACACAGACATGGCTCTGTCCCCCAGGTTACTGGGTATCCTTGGGTAAGTCTCCTAGCCTTTCTGGGCTCAGTTTTTCCTTTGGGAAGTTGGATGCACAACACATTTTCCCAGATTCTGTGAGCTGGGGTTCTGACCTAACACAGGGTTCTGTCCCCGTTCCTTCTGTGAGGCAGAAGTGACAGACTGTGGGCAGGCTGGGGCGCTGGGGACGCCAGAGGGGTGCTTTCTGTCCATGGCTGGACCTCTCCCAGAAAATGGGCATGGAACTCGAGGGGGCACTCGCCAGGCTGAGGGGCTGCCTGACCCTGGGCTCCCTGGATCCTCGCACCCCCCCAGACCTGGCCTGCCTGCCAGGCACACTCACCTTGATCATCTGCGAGAGATCCCCCGCATCGGCCAGCTCCAGTACAATGTTCAGCTCGTTGTCCTCAATAAACGAGTCCAAATACTTGATGATGTTGGGATGGTTCAGTTGCTGTCCAAAGGGAAAGACAGGGAGGCAGAACCAGTGAGGGACAGTTCAGCCCCGCGCCTGCGCCATGCTGGC